CTCGAGGCGTATTGGAAGAATATAACAATTCGGTAACAAACAGAAACACACGTAACGGACTACTCTAATCGAACTTAGGAAGAGATAGAGAATAGAAAACCAAAACAAAAAGATCTATGAACACAATAGCGGCAGTTTAGGTCCAGCTACTCATGTATACATAAATAAATAAAGCTGCGACTCATACTAGACGAGCTTGAACGGCACGCTATCATTCTATAGAAATAAATTGCTAGCAAATAAACCCGAGATACCCTCTTGAGCAATTTGGACAAAACATGAACAAGCAGCAGTGGCCGAGCGGACGCCACGCGAACAGGGTGAACTGACAGCCCCCGTCAGGAAACCCACAACGGGTGCACTGGCAGGGGGCAGCCAGTACACCCGCACGCGAAACATCCGCCCGGCCACACCACCCAGGCACGTCTCCCACCGCCAAAAAGGGCAGTGCGATAGAGCGGACAAGAGACGTAAGGTACGCAATGGGGGAAATACGTATAGGATCAAACTTCAGAACGCTATTCAAGCTCACTAGCTCGAAACGACAACAACAAACATGCAAAATTACTGAGCCTGATCAAGAATATGATCACGCCGGAGGAGCAAATCAAAAAACAGTAGCACAAATAATGAAGAGGTGAATAAGAGGAGGTGCGGCTGCAAAACAAGCAGTCGAGGAGTGAAAGAAAACAAAAACGGAATCATCACTTGACATCAGAAATCTGTAGAAGGTGAAGGATATCAAGTTTAGAAATTGCCTTTTTGAAACAAGCAGAATTTTTGAGGCACAATAAAGATGGCGGTAGACGTTCGAGCCACTTGGCAGTTCTACTTATAAAGGTACTGAGACGACGCACACGATTTGAGTTGGGCAACCTGCGCAAACGAAAAGCGAAGGTTCCATGTCGGCCATAGACCGGACGAAACGTCCAGTATTTGGACGGTTTCAAAAGCAGTTCTCCTCTAAGTAACTTGAAGGCTTCTTTCTCGTTCAGTTCACGTGCCGCAATACGAAGTTCTCTTTCGCGTGTTCTTTCCTCTAAGGTCATCGATTTGCGAATAAAAACGTTCTCGTAGGCTGGGCTGTTTTTGAGGAGGCGAGACTTGGATAGCATTTTTATTAGCTCCTCGAGTAGCGGGACAGCCTCAGGTGCTTTAGCGCTGATTATGGAGTGGATCCGATCAAGCAGTTGAATAGCATCTTGATCCATGAGGGTCATTGCCTTAGCAGCAATGGGGGACGATGGCTTTCTTTTTTTTTTGGGAGTTGCGGTGTGGGGGTGGACATGACCGGGATCGATGAAAACAGCCGCACAGCGTGATCGCTGGATAGGGACTGAAGGATGTATTATTTGATAAAAATGCTAAATGTATCGATTGCCCTAGAAATCTTGCTTCTAAGCCTTCCTGAAGTCTCACACACTCGACGAAAGCGAATATCTTTACCAGCTGTGACCATCATAAAATTCTAAATCTTTTTGTAATATTTTCACGGGCTCATATGATTTATCTGTACTTTTGAAATGCTCCCTATATCAATGCAAAATTTGGTGTTATTTTGTGAACTGTGGATTTTCTTATGATTTTATGTATGGTAGCAAAAAGTCGGGAAAGGGGGGTCGTATCTGGGTCACATCTAAATTTCTTCGGAGCTATTGAAGCTTGTTGGCTGCAATTCTGCTGTAATATGAGGCCATCCTCCTACTTCCCCTCATAAAAATTGCAGGCTGTTCTATTTCTCTGGTAAGTTACAAAATTTTAAGCTCAAAAATCCCAGTTTTTGCTTTTTAGGATCGCATCTAGCGAGAGTCGCATCTATTTAAAATTTTCGAGAGTCGCATCTAAATTTATTCGAGCTTACTGCTCCTCAAGAGCTAAAACTTTTTCTTTGGATAGTCTGAGCACTATACTGCAGAACCTGTGCTTTGCAGCCTCTCAGTCTTTTCCTGGCCTTAGTCACGAATTTTCAAACTACCGTGCTCATGCACGTTTTTGACATCGTTCTGGGTAGCGCTCAAGCGCTTTTTTTCGCGGGAAGAACTGTGGAAGAGGTAGGAAGTAAGCTTCTTAGTCGAAAACATCTTTTGTAGTTCAAGAATGTCATTTTTCCTCCGTGCAAAAATTTGCGTCGCATACGGGAATCGAATTTGCTGGTCTGAAGTATGCCTGAAAATTCAAAAAAAAACTTGCAGAATCTCAAACATTACTGAAGGTGTTTATGTGTGCTACAGATGCTGGGCGCACCCTTTGGCCTAGAAATTCTGCTTCCGAAACCTCACTGAAGTTCTCACGCAGGTGTTTTTTGAGATTGACATTCATTTATGCAGGTTACCGCGAGGAATGTGGGCAGGGGAGGTAAGGGGGATAAATGAGTGAAGGTGGGGAGGGGGGGGGTACGGATGGGTACCTTCAAGGGGGGGGGGGGGGTCGTAAATGAGGGTCCCGGATCGCATCAGAATGCTTGACCCTGCCCCTGAGACCCTCATATGAGGGTTTGTCTGGTGAGATGAGAACTGCCCACCTTTCCGTGGTATAAGTATGCAAGGTCACCCTACAGGTGAGCTTCAGATGAAGCCCGGCAGGGAGATCAGCTCCCGACCGAGTCATCGGAGATGAGCCGGGCAACGAGATAAGGTAAATACTGTGCTAAAGAGGAAAGCACAGAGAAAACCTCCGTAATTTGCTCCCGAGTAAATTACGAAACATCGCAGCTGACGTTCTTTTGCGGTGCAAAACTCCCAAAACTGCACAATTTCGGGCGCCTAAGTGAGTGAGGATCGATGAACAGCTGATTGCGCGACGAAATCGGAGAAAAAGGTTCTTTGTGCATTTTTCTTGCAGTTTTTGCTTGTTTTTCTTAAAGAACCGCTTCAGATGACAAAAATGTAGATTTACCTTTCTACTCATTTTTCGCCAATTGTAATTTTCCTCATATAAATCCCAAAACAATGTGTATTTGTTTTATCTCGTTGTTTGCTAGGTGAAATCTCTGATAGCTGCTATCATCGATATTTCGATAACGACCGCTATCAAAGGTCGCCAGGCCAAGTAGCAAAAACTGTGCCGCTAGCCGCACTCGAATCACGGCTATGCCGCTTGAAACGCATTAGTCTTATCCATTCGACTAGTATCGCACAAAAGACAGAAACGCTCCACCGTTGAAGACGCGATCGTCCAGTAAGTGATCTGCTCGAAATCAATCGCTCCCCTGGCAGTGTGCTGAGGCGCGGACCGGATCAACTCCGGTCCGCCTTAAGAGAGATGCCCTGATGGGAGTTTATTACGGGCCACTAAGCATTCCTTCAGTAAAGAGATTGTGACTGACTGACTCTAGGTGATCCACCAGACTCACTTCATCCTTCTCACAAAATAAGCTGATACTACTGTTTGGCGAAATTATAGACCCTGATATTGGTTCATAACCGCCAAAGCCAATAATTCAATAGAAGGGGCACAAATCTGCCACAAAAAGTGACGTTATGTATCCGGCGGGGTCTACGCACATCACAGACTTTCTGGTTTTATACGTGTTCTTGTTGCATACGACAAGTTAGCAATAGGGCAGTTGAACGCACTTGTCGACGAATTAGAAAGGTGATTTCTTGAAATTTACGCATTTATTTCGGTTTCAAAATCAGGGTCTACCAGAATTCAAAAAATTATTGTTCATAGCAAAAATTTCAGTTGGTCGATATTTATTAGATCGGCGCAAAAGTTCTGTCAGTTTTTTGAAGTAACCCCGCAAACAAATCAAGACGTATCCGATGTAGATTTTCTTCCTCTTATCAGAAGGTCATGTATGCAATGATGTCATTCATAGAGAGAGTGCTGAGATAATAGCTGAGAATCACAACCCTTCGTTTTCAACATGTCCAACTTTCGCTGATTTTCAAAATTTTCATGAGACTGCAACTAGCAGATAAAGCAAACCTTTTGCCAATTGAAGCAATTTTTGCAGCTCTGTGGCTTGTATTTCAGAATTTTTATAATGTATTTTTTGAAGTTACCAAATTACAAACTCCGCCTATTCTCACCTCATAGACATGATGGCAAACAGTTTAGGTACCATACAATGCATTTTTCCTCCTCTTTCTAACAGTTATCTTTTCTTGGCGAGAAATGCGATATTTGCGCGGAAAATCGCAGTATTTCTTCATTGCACAAGTGCGCACTGACAAACCCTAAGTTGTCAAAAAAAAAACCCAAACCTAAGTTTCAAAATCTTTATATTTTGAAGGAAAATCGCTCATTTACTTTGTAAGGCCAGCAATAGTCATAATCGAGTCTTAAAACCTTATTAACCTAAAGATTTCTGTGTTTGGTGCAGTAATAGGTCATGCAGTTTTTTCAAAGCTCAAGACTCTTGTAAAATTATTTTTAAAAAATTTAAAAAGGTGTTTGGCAAAAGGTTTGCTGCTAATTAAGCTCCGCCAAAAGTTTGGAACAAAAATTTTGAAAATTAGCAAAATCTGGACGCAATGGAAACGAAAGGTTGTAAATTTCAGCGATCTCAGCCCTCTTTCAACAGATTGCATTGGAAATAAAGCGGCTGGAAAGAGGAAGAAATTCCGTATTGGATACAGCTTGAGGCATTTGTTCATCTCTACCGTAACGGATTTGCGGGTCATTCCAAAAAAACTGACAGAACTTTTGCACCGACCCAATATTTGTGTAAGGCAAACACCGCTTTGTTTTCGTTGAGAAAACATGCAGTCGAACAGGCGAACGTAATTATTCCGACAAAAACGGCTTTTTGTGTGCTTTGGAAGTAGAGAAGCCATTGAGTTCTCATCGTTGTTCATGCTATGTCAAGGAAAAGATCTTTTTCTCTATTGAAAAGATCTTTTTCTCTATTTTTCTTATTTGCAAACTAAGTTGCAGTGGTAACAATATAGCCAACTTGTGTACACAGTTTTAATATTTCACAAAAACTGAAAAGTTCGGTTTCAAATTACTCCGATGTTCAAGCCTGAGATAGTGAATGGTTTCGTTAACATCATATGGCGGAGCTTTGCCTCATGCAGTATATCGCATTCCTTACTTTAACTGGTACTTCAATAAGCCTTCTATCCTATGACAACGGTCAGTTCACTTTGAAACTAACAGTGAGCAAAGCTTGAGGCGTAGGTATAATACGAGGTGTCCCATAAGCATTTATACAATATTTGATCTGTTAATAAGTTTTTTGTCCCAGAGTATTTACAGACATTGAGTACCATTTTTCCGTGGTTGGTTTCAAGTGCTAGTAAGCTGCGTTATAATTTTTCTCTAGAAGATAAAAATCAATAATCACTCTTTGTTGTTGTAGAATTACGGTAAAGGCTTACAGGCAGCTTTTACTGCAGCAAGTCTCAGAAAGTTGGCCGGAAAGGCTGTGCGAACATGATAAAAGTTTCTATGTATGCTTCCTAATTAAGCTCACATTGATAGGGTAAGTGACTAGATTTATATGTAAATCAAGCAAAGTAAGTCTTTTTTGTCAAAGTGGCATTTACAAGAATGCTACTACTTTGAAGAGCATACAATGTTGGAGATCTGTTTTTGGTATATGCCAAGCACCTTGGACGTCGAGTTATGAGTGTTTTTAAGCGAAAATAAACGGAAAATTTAGAAAAAACGATAATTACGATCTTTTCTGCTTTCAAAAGCAATGTTGGGATGAATGTAAAGGTATTAGACAAGAGGTATCCATTGGATGGAGTGCTCTGGTAATCAAAACTTGACCATTTGGATGATTCTGGACAATTTGTTCCAGTTGCGCATAATTTTTTGAAAAAGATTCATAACTTGGCCTCCAAAGGCAATGGCAGATAGAGGAGACAGATCTAGAAACATTGTTCAATGCTTTGAAAAGGTTATAGGTGTCGCGTAAAAAAAGTATTTTGACTAAAGAGGTTTCCCTTGTAAGTAGGTTGAAGTCAATCCTATCCAAAAGTTAGTGTGTTTGAAAGAGAATTGTAAGCAATTGCAATGTATTAGGTCGGTGCAAATGTTTTGTCAGTTTTTTTCAATTCATCGGCAAACAAGCTAGAATGAAGATAAACAAACACTTTAGAATGTATCCGATGCAGAATTTTTTCGTCTTTCCAGCTGCTAAACTCTCATTGCGTTTCGTTGCGAGAGTGACGATATATGTGCTGGAAATTACAACCACTCGTTTTTACCACGTCCAACTTTCGCTAATTTTCAAAATTTTTGTATTAGACTTCCGGAGGAGCCTTGATAATCATCAGATAGGGAAAACCTTTTGCCAACTTATGCAATTTTTTGTAACCCTACGGCTTGCCTTTCAGAATTTTTACGATTTATTTTTTGAAGTGACCAAACTTTACATTTAGCCTAATTTAACCTCGTAGAACCTACAATGTTGAACACTTCAGTCACCATTCGATTCAACTTCTTCTCCTCCTTCTAACACTTGTCTTTTTTTACCGAGACAGGCGAAATTTGTGGGGAAAATCGCAGTATTTCTCAATTTCAGGAATGCGCACTGCCGTAACCTATGTTTCAAAATCTTCTTAATTTGAAGCGAAAATCGCTCATGTACTTTGTAATGGTAGCGGTAGTAATAATCGAGTGCTGAAACACAGTATTCTGTAGGTTTTGCAGTGTTTGGGTGCAATAACAGATTATGCGATTTTTCCAAAACACAAGACTTTTAGAAAATTATTTAGCAAAAATCTGCAAAAGCAGTTGAGATAAAGAAAAAGATTGCATAAGTCGGCAAAAGGTTTCCCCTATTTAATGATTACCAAGGCTCCTCCGAAAGTCTTGTACAAAAATTTTGAAAATTAGCGAAGTTTGGACATGGTAAAAACGAGTGGTTGTAATTTCCAGCACATATATCGTCACTCTCGCAACGAGAGTTTAGCAGCTGGAAAGACGAAGAAATTATGCATCGGATACATTCTAAAGTCTTTGTTTATCTTCATTCTAGCGTGTTTGCCGATGGATTGAAAAAAACTGACAAAACTTTTGCACCTAATATATATGGTTGTGGGATATCCTGTGTTGTTCATAGCTGCTGTACAAAAATACTGCGATTCCAGATTTGATTGGTAATTTCAAGTTTCAGGTACAAACATGGATACCTATAGAGAGCAGAACAGACTTGTCGCTCAATTACTTTCTGAATACAGAAAGGACATGCCTCCACTTGGTATAAAAAGTATGTGTACTACTTTATTTAACAAACAGATTGTCCCAAAAAGATGTATCGAACGTTTGATATACATACAACTACTCCTTGTATAAAAATTTTTGCGATCATTCAAAGACTGCTTGCAAAGCTGGCCCTGACATAACTTTACAGTATGAATCACGGATCGAAAATTTAGAAAAAACGATAATTACGATCTTTTCTGCTTTCAAAAGCAATGTTGGGATGAATGTAAAGGTATTAGACAAGAGGTATCCATTGGATGGAGTGCTCTGATAATCAATACTTGGCCATTTGAATGATTTTGGGCAATTTGTTCCAGTTCGCATAATTTTTGAAAAAGATTCATAACTTGGCCTCCAAAGGCAATGGCAGATAGAGGAGACAGATTTAGAAACATCGTTCAATGCTTTGAAAAGGTTATAGGTGTCGCGTAAAAAAACTATTTTGACTAAAGAGGTTTCCCTTGTAAGTAGGTTGAAGTCAGTCCTATCCAAAAGTTAGTGTGTTTAAAAGAGAATTGTAAGCAATTGCAATGTATATATGGTTGTGGGATATCCTGTGTTGTTCATAGCTGCTGTACAAAAATACTGCGATTCCAGATTTGATTGGTGATTTCAAATTTCAGGTACAAACATGGATATCTATAGAGAGCAGAACAGACTCGTCTCTCAACTACTTTCTGAATACAGAAAGGACATGCCTCCACTTGGTATAAAAAGTATGTGCACTAATTTATTTAACAAACAGAATGTTCCAAAAAGATGTATCGAACGTTTGATCTATAACTACTCTTTGTATAAAAAGTTATTGCGATCATTCAAAGACTGCTTGCAAAGCTGGCCCTGACATAACTTTACAGTATGAATCACAGATCGCTCATCAATACTGTAAGACTGCGGTAAGATCTCTAGCGCAGCGTCATTGTAAGCACGCGATCACGCCGTTTCTCACACATGCTGATCATACTGCTTAACTTTTTATACATTTTCATTCCTTTCTAAACGGCGTGGTCGCATTTTTGAGGAACCCTAAGAAAGCAGTTGTTACACAATATATTTGGCATAACTCAAAGGGTGGGGGGGGGGGGAGAGGGAAGGGGACAGCCCTGAACCCAGCGCCCGCTACAGTAGTCCCGAAAGTAGGTCGCAGGCGCCTGCGCTGCGTGCGCTGCGGACGAGTCTTACCTAGGACGCTTTACATTCAGAAGTCTTCAACGCTCAACCTCAGCGCGCCTTAGTAATGCGCTATACATTCGCCCAATTTCTAACAGCTGCATATACTGCATATATGTATTTTGCCATTTTGTAACCTACATTTCGGAGCTCATCAGTAGGTTTGTTTCGAGAACTATTTTGGATTCTACAGTTTTTTTATACAGTGTCACACGCTTGACGTTGTGAACTGCATGACGCTTCGTGAGGAAGCATGCAACGTGAACCCAAACCTTAAAATACGCAAACTATAGTCTGCGTAGTTTTCTATAGTCTGCGTGGTAACTGATAGACTTGGCATGAATAGTTTATCACAATTCATGCCCACGTGTCAACGCTAACCCCAGCACATTCTTTTATGGCGATTTTCTACCACAAATACCGCTCAATTCTCAAAAACACGGATTTCCACTTTCGCAGGGACGCACGCTTTTAATGTTATAGTTTTCGGCTAAATTAGTGCATATAAGATTTAATGTTTGTATAAAAGCTACCAAGTAGGCACCAGCTTCGATTTGAGAATGAGAGTATGGGCAAAATGTGAATTATCTTCGCTCAAATCTGCACAACTTGAATATCAAGTTGTCAACGAAATCTTGAACTAATGAAACAATGTGCTCTTCCCTACAAGCATCATTTATCTCACATAATCACATGAATGGGACGGTACATGATGCGGCAAGGAATGCACGCACAAGAAAAAAAACGTATCAGCAACACCCACCTTACTCAATCAAAAATAGTGTGTCGGTTCTTGAAGCAGGAGAAAAATGTTACGGTGTTTTCTCTAATTTAGTTAAGAATATTGCACCAAACTTGCTAGGTAGCAAAATAGCAGGATTTTGTTAACGTTAGCGTTTGCGACACCTCTCTCAAAGGTTTGAGGGAAGTACGTCACCAACGAGGTTCTCGTCCGCTTTCGCAGCGCACCTCCATGGGTCAACTGCTCAGCGCCGACACAACCCCGGACATGACCTCTGAGACGCGCGAACCCTCACAACCGTCGCGAAGAGCAGGTCCAGAAGGGCCTACACCCCTTGAAAGAGGCATTACGGTAAATGCAACCTGTAAAATTACAGCCAGCGACTCTGATTAGCTCAGTGTAAGAGCTTTCAGGCTGTTTGGCTTCCTTCTGATATGAGACAGGTGCTGTATAGCTCAAAACTGCCTTTTCAGAGTTCCCCGTAATCCTAACGTGATAAAGTAAGATGGATAATTTGTTCCATATAATGAATCTAAGCTAAAGCCAGCTCTACAACAATGCTTATAGGGCAGCGAAAGTACACGTGCGTACGCATTAAATTTGCAGACAGTAATTTTCTCACAACCCTTGCTTGCAATCATTATGTGGATATAATTATCAGGTTGTCTCATAAGTTCCGCCCGTTATCACCTTTCATCGCAATAATTTCCATTTCTTTTAAATCTTAACAAAGCACTGATTGTGAGAGCATTTTTCGATAAAGCGAAGCAAGCTATACAAGTGGTGCTCAAAAAGCTCGTTAATGTCAATTTCTACACCTGCAAAAATTACAGAAGTGTGCACATGAATTTTAGAAGGGGAGTGTATATGCATGAACTATTAAGAGGATTTTAGCTATAATAGATGGAATTCTGATGATTTTCCGAGTCTTTGAGTTTCCAAAACTTTTCAAATTTTTACAGCGACCCTACGGGTTGCTAGCAAGTGGGTCGGGCAAATACAATATAAGGGCTTAGTTGTGACTATAAATATTAGGTTGATGCATAATTCCTGCACCAAGATGGGTACAGACCGCAATAATCCGGAATAATCCTATGTCCTAAAAAGGATTCGATATATCATTAGATAGAGCAAACCTAGCTCTACAAGATAATTCTCAAAGATTTGCAGGAGCTCTGATCCAAGCGAAGATTGAAGCCAAAAACGAAAAAGATCCAAGCGGCCCAGAAAACCAAGAAAAAATTGGAAGTCAGTTCAGAAAAATCCTTCAAAATTTCTAACTTGCTCATGCATTGTCATTTCGTATAAGACATCTCTCTATGCAGTTGCTGTATTTTTCTCTCAGCTGAAAATTGAGAAAACGAAGTTTTTTAGTTTCTTCCAAAACAATGCTGAGATGTTCTAGCACTTACAGTTCTATACTATAGGAGTTTAGAAGCGTGAGTGTAAATTTTCAGCTTTTTACAACAGCTGGTTTACGAGAAATATCGAATTTTTAGCAACTAGGCAAGAAAAATTCGCACAAGGAGAGCTAGATTCGCCACTTCTCGTGAACTAGCAGTTCCAGAAGGCTGAAAATGTAAAGTTTCAGTGCTAAAGGCATGTACCATACAACTGTTAGTGCTAGAACATCTCAGCACTAATTTGGCAAAAACATGAAAAACTTCGTTTTCTCATCGTCTAGCTGAGAAAAAATACAGCAACTGCATAGATGAATGTCTTACGTGGAACGTCTACGCGTGACCAAACAAGAAATTTTGTAGCGGCCTTTTGAACGAAGTTGCAATTTTGGTTCAATTAGTCTTAAGGTTTTCGAACGCGTGGTTTTTTTCAGTTTTCGGCTCAAAACGTCGCGTGATCGAAGCTGGTGCAGATATTTGAGCACTTCCTTGTAGAGCTAGGTTTGCCCTATCAAATGATATATCGAATCCTACATATGTGGGATATAGGACTATTCCGGATTATTGCGATCTGTACCTATTTTGGTGCAGGAATTATGCATCAACCTAATATTTCTAAATAAGTTTCCTATTCCTTTCCTGAAAACATTTTTGCGAAGAGCATTTTATTATACAAAAGAAGAACTGCTCGAAGAAGCGATAATATCCACAAATCATTCAGCATTTCTCGAAATTCCTGCTACAACCATGCATGGAAAATATTATCTTTCTCTCGTTCACCAAGCTCTTTCTGCAAATACCCCTCCTCACATAGACATTCAGATACCCCCCCCCCCCCACTTATCTACCCTCTCAAAAACAATTTGCTCTCCCAGTTCTTCTCTACAAGTCCCATAAAAGATCGTTAAGTAAGTAGCAGAACAAACACCTATTGTTTTAGAAGTGGAAATTCACTTATAACAATTATGTGTACTACAAAACACTTTTCTCTCAGAATCAATTCGGACAGCAACGAAATCAATCGTCTAAGGACTTTGTCAAAGAGTCCTTCAATTCTTTCGCCAAAGAAATATGAAGCTTTATTATAAAAGGAGGTACCTTTCCGAAAAGCACGACTACTGAGCCACTTAAAGACCGTCAATCATAAGAACTGCACAAACGTACAAAAAATTTGAAACCAATATTATTTATCTAAAAGTTTCCCGTCCGATCAAATTGCCCTACGTGCCGCTTACAAACCAATATATATATATCTGAAAGACAGTTCATGCCTTACGTGCCTCTTGAAGACCGTTTAAAAATTATAAGAACTGCCCCAAACATACAAAAATCTGTTTCCCTGCTCCTGCCGCTTACAGGCCGATAGTAACTATTCAAAAAGAAAGTTTATGCCCTATGTGCCGCTTGAAGACCGTATATATAAGAAAAACCAACCTTACGACTCTACAGAAAGAAAACAACGAAACTAAGTATTTACTCACACCTTATTCTCAAACTGCCGCACATGCCACTTTAGGATCTTCAGTTTTGAGAACTGCCCCAAACGTACAAAAATCTGTTTCCCTGCCCAATCGAGTTGCTCTACGTTCCCTCACAGACCGATAGTAATTATTCAAAAAGAATTTTATACCCTATGTGCCGTTTCAAGACCGTATATATAAGAAAAACCAAGCTTACGAGTCT